TCGGAAAATGTGTTTTGGAAAGTCGTTCTCCTACGATTCTAGTCGAATTTCCAGCTACGAATTATCGACTTTTCTAGATAAAGATGGAAATTATGAGGTTAAAACCGTAATGTAATCTAAATGGTAAGAAGATAATCCCCCATTATCACTCTAAAAATCTTAATAAATGTGTAGATAGGACTTGCCACATTAAAATTGTAAATGCAAGGTGACAGATACAAGTCTTATCTCTCGCTCCTCAGTGCCTTTTTTTTTATTTTATTTTTTTGGACTGGGTCCAGATCCGGCTTTTATTTTAACCAGCGCCTCTTAACGTGATTCATTCGCGAGTTCTTGTAAGGATGCACGTTTCCGATCACGTGACTGTTCTGATTTATTTACATTGAAAAACGGAAAGTAGTTTTCTTCTTTTTTTCTTTTATAATATATAAAAACTATCCAGAACTAAAGTTTCGAGTAGAGCCTATTATAGATCTTATGACCGTTGGCAGATGAGGTTAACGAGGGTTGAGTAGAATGCCCGATAAAAAATCGAAAGCTTAAGAAGAAAACTCATGAAATGTTTAAGTTTTCATTGAATTATTTTTTTATTTTTTTCGATTATTAGCTAGAAATTAGATTAAAGTTTGTAGAAGTAAGTGATATCTAAAATTTGACCTTAACTTTAACGTTCATAAAAAACATTGAGTACTTCCATAGATTACTTCATCTTGTTTTATGCAATACTACTTTAGACCTATGAAATTCTATTTCTCCAATTTATATAATACTGCTTTACTTCTGTTTATGTAACCCCGCTTTATCCCTGTATTTATACAACTTTATATCTTTCTATGCAACCCGCTTTATCCTTCTTCTTTATGCAATATTGCTTCACTCTTCTTTATGCACCACTCTGCTTTATTCTTGTTTATGCAACAACTCTTTATTCTTGTTTATGCAACAACTCTTTATTCTTCTTATTTATATATTCTTGTTTTTACACTCTTTATATATGCACCCCTATGCAACCTTGTTTTATTCCTATTTATGTAAACTTTATTTAATAAAGCTACATAAATAAAGATTAGAATGAAGATGGGGTGCAGCCAAGACTTCGTAGAAAATCCAAAAGCGACGGAAACAAATTGTAACATTGTGTTATCCGCCAGTCGCTCGGATTGATCCACCCTTTAATGAAGAAGAGCGTCGATCGATCTTCTTGATTGATGCAACTCGCAGATAAATTTAAAATCTGAATTAATACATAATAATCAGGGAATGAAGCATCGTCTACCGCAGATATGGGTCCTATATCTCTTTATACACACAACAGCCTACGTTCGTTTCGCTGATAACAAAATCCGTTGGAAGATAAATATGTATGGCTCCAATTTTTTGATTCTTCAAAAAAAAAACACCCTTCCTTCACAGTGAAATCATTTTTTAATGTAATTTTGTTAAAGAATTTTTTAGATATACGGAGTTAAAGATGTGTCTATAGAGGTTTCCGATTAGAGTTTAGAACAACTTGACCCCTGTTCAATGACCATTCTTATGGAGTCGAACCTAAACTTGACTCGTGTCAGCAACTAGCGCTGACCCCTTACATCTATGGATGAAGCTAAAACAGGAGTTTTGGGCGGGAGGCTTTCTCCAGATGTCGACGACAGACGATCCCATTGGGGTGGAGGAGAATCAGGCGGGATAAATTTTCGTTCCGGTTACGTAGCTGATGGAGACCTGGCCCGGAAATGGTAGACACTTCAACTACTGTTCCCGAAAATGCAAAGAATTCTTCTGACTCGTCTCTTGTCGTTTAAGCACGTGCCGAAAATCCGACACGAGTCGCATCTACCTCCCTTTCTCCGGAATACTGTTTAAGAGTCTTTGTTTGTATTTCTGGTCTGGGTTCGATATTCCGTGAACGGTGGCTTTCCTCATTTCTCCTATCCATCAACGACTACACTTAACAAAAAATAAAATAAAAATTCCTCTAAGAAAATATTTTGGAATCTGTAGCATCTCGAAGATGTCGTCAAACTCATACCTTTACGAAATAACCCGCATCACTCAACAAACAAATATCTAGTTCATAAGTCATATCACACTGGAAGTGTGCCAAATTAGAAAATGTATTCTATCCTAATTCACGTTTCTCTGTAAAGTTCAAATTATTCTAAACAAGTTACGTGAGATGTAGGTTTCCGGGCATAAACACAGTATTTATTTGGATCTTTAGGACGTTGATTTTCATCCCAACAGGAGCTAACATCATTTCTTGCGCTTCCATTTAGTTTTTTTAAGGGTGGATAAAGAGTGTAGACTTTAAATATTGTTTATATATCTCATATCTCTCCTTATTAAAGTGATTTAGAAACTAATAATTCTTAGAAACGAAGCTTAAGCTAGATTTTGTGAATTAAATTGATATTTCAGTCATATAAATATAAAATATCATTTATTCTTTCCTTTTCCTGTATTTTTATTATTGATTTTAAAGAACTAAAGAAAAACTTAGCCAATCGAATAATATTTTTCATCCATCTAATCCAGGATAAACTCATTTAAGTCAATGGTTACGATAAACTTATCTTTCTGAATTTAAATTTGAATGACGGGGCAATTATCGTGAGCAATCATCCAAACAATTTTACTTTATCACAATTAAGTAATGCCTGCATGTCTTTTTTTTTGAAAATTTTATGTAGTTTTTGAAAGTTTATAAATTAAAAAAAAAAAATTCATTTTTTTTTGTAATCTCATAAGTGCTTGCACGTCACTCACGTCACATCCTTCAACACGGTATAGGGATGTAGAGAACATTCACTTAACTGTATCTCTTGCCGTGCTCCTTAAATCCCCTATATCAATTTGTTTGAAGTCGACAGACAAACACCCCCACAAGAATTTTTGTAAAAAATGGTTCCTAACTGCCACACCAGTTTTGCCCTCTTCTAGTACCAAGAGCAGATTTACGGGTGAATTCCTGGGGAGCTGACAGAATGGACCAAGTGGTCGGTGTACTAGTTCCATAGAGAACGAGGCCAAAACTTGACAGTGGCCAGAGCAAGCTACGAGTATGTGTTGTGTGTGTGTATGTGAACGGCTGGCAACATAAACAGGGCGTCATCGAAGCTATAAATCTCGCAGCGGTCCAGCACAGAACTCCAATTTAAGAAAAATAAACTCTTTCGCCCTCGAAATTATTGCGCGAAGATTTTAGCACCCCTTATCTTTGCCTGATTTAAATATTTAGTATGTTGCAGAGATGAAAGATGATTCTGGGATAATTTTTTTTTTTTTTTTAAATTATCGCTCGTACCGGTCGACGTGACCCTGTGTCATCTGCTTTTCGTGGGTCACGTGATTGGCTTTGAATAAAGAAATAGGATTTTTGAGTAAGCTCTGTGGGTGGGTACTTCACTTCCTGCCCTCCTAGAGTTCTTACAACAACGTTTTGGGTCGGGGAACAATGTAAGAGTAAAGTGGTTGTCCATTGTCACTCACTCCCTTTCCATTTGTTACCGGACTCTTTATGAGGAGCCACAGTCTATGGCCATTGGCGTACAACGCTTTTCCTCTCTCTTTCTCTCTCCCTTTGAACTTCATCTTCGACAGGTGGCATCGAGTGTGAATGAAAGATTCGAACGAAAATAGGAAAATAGGACCAGAGGGGGGATCGGTGCCCTTCTATCAGTTTTCCTCTCCGAGACCGAAGGTGGCACTATAGCATCCTCGTATTCTCGATAGGCGCCGAATGCCGTTTAATTCGAGGGGTGGTCAAATCAAAAATGCGCCAATTACCGTAACCAATTCTTGTGTTGAGGCCTTTGGCGGGTGGGGTCCGGGTTGAGTGCACCCGAGGAAACTTTCCCTGTATAATTCCACCTTTAAAAAAAAAAGGCGTAGTAAAGGTTGTTTCCCGGTGTTTATCACCTTAAAGAACTGAGAAAATTTGACAAGTACTTCGCCCTCGCTTGCAATAAATGAGGATCTTTATGCAATTCTATTGAGGTGTGAATTATCGTATACCTATGTAACATACACGATACTGTTGATGTAAACCTTTTAGTATTAGTACCATTCTGCGATCAAATACTTCCGTACCAACTTTAATTCAATAGTATCTTAGTACTGTACAAAAAAAAACAAAATTAATTTTTGGTGCAGAAAAGATTCGTTTGCCATGCTAATGTTTTAACTTGATCTAAAAAATTACTTTTTTAATTAATACAATTTGGTACATCATCATAGTTTGGTACCAAAAAATGTACAATACAATTTGTATATATAATTTTAGGCTTCTTTCATTTGAAAGCCCAATACACACGATTGATTATTGTGTACAAAAACTTAAAATAACTTCTCAAAACTTTAATTAAATTATAACAAAATTATTTTTTTATGTTAAAACGTTTAACTTTATAAAAGCTTTATATCAAAACATCTCTTAACGAGACACACTTGTATTTTTTTTAGAAATTCCTTCTAAAAATTCTTTTATTCATAAATTATAGAACTAGAAGATTAATTTCATATTTTGTTAAATTTATAAAATATTTTTAAAAAATAATAATAATAACTATTTTATTTTAAAAAGTTTGATTTTAAAATTTTATTTTTTACTTCATCAAAGGACTTGAATAGGGCTCGAGATTTTAAAGGAAAAATCATTATTTATACTTGGAATTTTGTCGATTGTAACGTAATTTTGAAATTTATAAATAATGAAAAAAACAAGCACACAAATTATTGATTAACAGAAATATATTCTTTTCAAACAGAACTGACAAGGTACAAACTAGCATCTATTTCTGGTAGGACATCTACCTTTTTGGCAGGATGGTGCTCACTTCTCGTAACGTGATGAAAATCGTCTGAATTCTTCTGCCTACATAACTGGCTTCTCTGAAGGAAAAAAAATTAGAAATATAAAGAAAAATTATCAGTTCCGTTTCGCCATAAGATAATTTTTCCGATGACAGAACTCAATCTAACCAATTAGTTCCTTCTCTCTCTATGAATTACCCTACAGTGGTTTACTAGTTCAATAAATTTCCGAGTGTAAAATTTACAATTTTGCACGCAAAATAACAAGGGGAAGAACGTTTTTCACATATTACACTGCTCAAAAAACATCCTCCTGATTCAAAAAGAACGATAACTCAGGTATAAAAGTCAGTGTAAAGCCGGGAATTTGTCATTTATAGTCGTGTGTTGTGCATTTACATCACCAAGGCTCCGGGTAGAATCTACTTGACCTTTTGCATTCGTGGATGGAGAATCTCGGAGCGAGAAGCACTTTATTGTCTGTTCTGTCCACCTTCGACCTTTCAAGGAATAATGTTATAGAAGAAACAACCCTCAATTGCCGTCTGGACCTTTTTGCTAAGAGAACAATACCCTAATCTTAAAATAAATTATTACGCGAATTTTTTTCTATACACTAAAATAATAAATACAGCTTTGATTGAGATCAACCCGTAAGTCCATCCTCGGGCAGTTCTCTAACGGGCCTCTTCAAACAAAAGCCACTTTAAATTTACTTACACCATTTACTTTCCTCTTTAATTTGGAGTTGTGGGAGATTAAAAGAGAAATTTCCTCAAAGTAGTTTACTCTACTTTCAGGAAATTCTTGTTCTTCCTCCTGTTTCTTAGATAACTCTGCAACATGTAGGCGTGAGGTTCAGTCTTACCTCATATAATGTTTTCCGTTTCATGAGGCTCTCTGATTTCACGTCAATGTTTTTCGATTTGATACGAGATCCATATCTCAAGCTCAGTTTCTCTTTAAATCATGTGTTCTATTTAATCTGAGGCTCTCATTCCTCAAAATACCTCAAAACTTTTTGACTTTTTGCGAGTCTAGTCTATCTCAAACAACATTTTCTCTTGACGTGAAATTCTCGAGCTCACCCTAAACAATGTTTTTCTATTAATGTAAGCTCGGAATATTACCTCAAAGTTCTCTATTCTATTTCATTTTCTTAAATTTCTTATGAGCCAATTTTGATTTCGATATTTACTTGGCCGGAAATGTATATAAATAAAGGTTAAAAGGGCGTATGAATTTCAATAGATCGTGAGTTTTGATTGGTTTTGAAATTGCCCCTTTCTTATTCAACAATGAAAATCTAAACTTAAGTTCTCGAAGCCTACAGAGAAGCCAGTTTTGTTTCGAGAGAAGTTGTTCTTGAATAATTTGGCACTTTTTTAAGTCGAGTGATCGCGAATTCACTCAAAGTTCTTTGTAGAGAAGGACGGAAATCGATCAGGGCCAATTGAAATTCTGGCCGACCATCCTATAAAATTTCATGTTGAATGGACGATAAAAATCGCGAAGTCTTTGCACAGATGCTGGATGGATGAAAGGGTGCGACCTACCCTTGGTCTTACCCAGACAATGAGGTATAACGCTGTCTTCAGATTTCCACCAACAAGGGAATTTTTTGGTCGAGTTGAAAGAAAAATGCTTCTCTCCGATATACCTCTTCAATCCTAAAAAATCTTGCACTTTGCTCATTTCCAGCACTGGATTGCTGATGAGTCTCTCGCCGCTAACGAAGTGGAATTGTTTGAGTGGGAAGTATTGCAGCCATCTTTCCAAATGTCTGGCATAGACACCGATCTTAATAGCACTCCACGACGTGTCCACTAAACCCGTGGTCCCATTCAAGAATGCCATAGCTTCGAAGGTACCCGCGTCGTGGCGTTTACTTACAGCCTGAGTATAGTCTGATATAGCACGCGTAACGGGATCACGCACCACCACTAACAATCGAATGTCGCGTGACATATTGTGTAGACGAGCGGGAACCTCTGGAGTTACGAAGTAACTAGGCGTTTTTTCTATAGTCATTTGGTGCGGATAGCTTAGTGGCATTTGTTTCCTAAAAAAAAAAAAAAAGAAAAATGACTCATTAGCATTGCTTTAATTGCTTTCAAAACTATTAAAAAAAACACCATAAATTAAAAAAACACAAATAATTTCACGCTGAATGCTAATTAAAACATATGCAAGCAACACATAAAACTGCGTTATTAATAATTGATTTTCGGTAAACTAGCATTAAAGAATTATATTTTATAAGATTTTTTTAAATTTAAATTGTATTGTGATGAAGAAAACATACAAAATATTTGATATTTTTTGAAGTTTGTAACTATCAAATGATACAAAGTGATTAATTGACTGATTGATCGTTAATAACCAGAACTTGTCGTACATACTGCCACTTGATAACGAATCTGAACCGATAAGAAATGGACTAAAACGACTACAAATTCGTATATTTTGATACAATTTTAAAGAATTTTTAATTTAAAAATATAATTTATCACCAAAATCAATTAATACGTCTTAAGAAAGTTAAAAAAAAAAAAAAAAAAGCCTAAGCGAATGCTTCAAGTTGCACTCCATAATTCTTACAAACATTGGTGATTTATGATTCGTCAGAGCCAGATTATTCTATTGTGAGCAACATAGCCACACAACTACGGGTGTCTAATGCAGTCACGTGTTAATGCGGAGGGTGCCACATACAAGTGATTAATCACGCCCCGCATGTCGACAGACGTTTCATTAAGTAGCCGGAGAACGATGGAATTAACTTATCATCTTAAGAGTTAAATGTTTCCAGCTCGCTGTTAAGGGAATTGATGATCGTAGCTTATTTCCGGTTAACTTGGCGTTTTTACACAAGTTTTCAAGATAAAGATAATCTATTCTGTGTGTGTTTTTCATTAAATCACCATGAAGACAGAACCATAGTTTCCGACTTGCAAACTATAAATTTTAAAATCGTTAAAAGTATCCAACAAGAATGGTCTTCTAGAAATTTATAGAGAAACAGTAATTAGATCTGTCTAGATAATTTTATTTACGCTCAATCGATAGAATGTTTAGTGAATTTGGACTAACAACGAATCTACTCCATCTTTAATCTCAAGATAACTCACTGGAGTGAATTGCAACGTGGGTACTTCAGAAGCACTTCGGTAGGAATTTATGCAAAATAATTATAATTAAATTTAATGATAACGATAATACTTAAGTATTTCTGAGTTTGTCATATAGTACTGGTACTTAGAAAAGTCATTGTCCTAATAATCGAGGAGAAGGTTCCAGTCGAACACCCACCACGTTGGGAATTTCGTAGACAAACTGCTACCAGATGTAAGCATATAAATCATAAAAAATAAAAAAAAGGGGAGCTCTCTCGACATAAACGACTCAAAAAAACTGCTTAAAGGAACCGAAGATCCTTTTAGAATTCCATTTTAGTTTAAAAAATATATGGGTATGATTAACAACAGCTGAAAAATGTTAAAATCTCTTATCGCGACACGCGTACATACTAAATGTTTGAATTGTCAAAACAATTTCTTATTAAAATATATGAAAAACGGACGCATTCTTAGAAAAATACGATTCAAAAAAGATTTTTATTTACAATTTTCAACGTAGAATTACTTTCAATTAGTTAAACAAAGCATTAAATCAACTCGGATCATTAGAAAAAGGTTGAGGTGCTGATTACTGGTTCGGATAGTTGAACACTTTAGTTGTATCATAGCCTGAAGGATCTGCCAATTAACAAAACTGTGATAAAATTTTTCTAGGATAACAATCGAGAAGTTTGCCATTCTTGCGGAACGTTTGCTACAGAATAAATAAAATCTTGGCCACTTGCCTAATCACTCATTTGTAAAGTGTTGATGCTTTAAATTTACTTCGAAAAATTTCGAAAAAATTTACAGCTACAAAGAGGATTTAACTACTTTCAAGGATTAAGTAATAAAGAAATGTCTAATTAACTCTTAAAATAAATGAATTTAAAGCAAATTTTGTATTCATTTGGAAGCATTTTTGGTAAAGGACAAGTTAATAAAGTTTGACTTGTTAAGAATTTATTAGAAATTGTTAAATTTGTAAGGCAATTAAGTGAGACTTCACTCATTTTAAAGCACTTAATCAGAATCAAGTCGTAAAGTTAATTGGAAATAGAGTGCGAATGATTGTAAAACTGTCAGTGAAGGTCGTTCGTCACCGCTTGTTGAACACAGTCCACACTAAACATTAAATACAGAGGTTAATGGGAACATCTCCTGCCAACTATTCTTTTATCCCGTTTCAATGAATGAAACATTAGAGAATGACTAACAGCCTTTATAAAACTATTTTCAGGTTAAGAGACCTATTAGAAGATAAGATAGAATGGGTCTCAAACAGGTTAAGTCAATGGACATGGGTTCGGATCTCTATTGCTTGCTGTCCACTTGTTTCCCTATTTTGAAATTATCATTTGAGAATAATGCAAACCGATAGTTTAACTACTTAGAATATGTGGGTGTGGGTTCGATCCAATTTGCACTAAATACACGTTTTCTGTCTCGCTTTGTTTATATTGAGTTATGGTTTCCATAACAGCCTCGTGATAGAAACAATCCTTAATGAAATGCGAAACAACTTAGTATGTTCATGTTCTAAATAAATAATTGATTTTGACAATAAATAATATTCAAATCGTAAATCTTATATATAAAATACATGCCGACGTAAAGGAAGATACCAAAGTGCAGAGTGCATTGCTTAAAGGTCGTAAGTTCGGATCAAATTTGAGATTAATTGTGTTTATTTCTACAGAGACGGCTTTTGATATATTAAATTGTTTGTTTACGCTTTTCATTCTTGTGGAACAGACGGTGTTCGATTGATTAATTCTTTCCACAAGATGTTAAATTTATTGTAAATTAAATTTATAGATCTAGTTTTAGAACATAAATAACGCTTAATACTTTATTGAAGGAAATTCTCGAAGTGTATGCTAGTATTTAAATGCATAAATATTATTTTCCTGGATTTGGATTCGAACCTGCGTCTATGAACAATACATGAAATCCAAACTAATTGCATTCAAATTACGAATAATTATTAATGTTGTGGATTCGGTTCTCACTTTGACATACATTTTCTATTAAAATATTACATTTATTAGACGTCAACATGCCAATAAAATACTTTTAATATAAAAAAATGACACTTATTTAACCATATTTTCATTCTTTTTAATTATTTTAAATAACAACGTACAGTTTGTTCCGTAACAAGTTAATAATTTAATTATGTTTTAAAGCTTTAAAATTGCTCTTTAATTGCTTACGTAATAGAAAATCTTCATTGTCCTTCATTTGAATTAAATTTCTAGGTCAGTGTTTTTGCATCCCTTAATATTACAGTATAAACCATTGAGGTTATTCATCATTCATCATGTTACAAGTTATGTAATTATGAAGCATAAATTATGCGAATACCACTAAGATTATTTTAAATCTGATGGATAAGGTGACAAAGTATTCATTTAGACACTTAAAAAGTCATTTAAATTCTTTAAAAATGAATAATTTGGCCATATTTAAATACTCGGGAAGATGAGCTCTTCTTTTTTTTTATACTAGATAGGATGTTAGATACTAGATTATTTTGATGATAACAATATAAAAAATGTAAATCCAGCGTGTGAGTTACTAAGTTACAAATGGTGTATTACTATAAGATGTTTTCGGATCTTAAACAAAAATAAACATTTATTCCGAATGAAAATAAATACTCTAGGATCAGGCCAACAACTTCATACATTCTATTAAGTTTTTAAAAAGTTTTAAGCTGTTTTATAATCTATTTCTAGATATTTCAGCTAAAAATTTTAAATACTACTGTCAGAAAACTCATATAATAATAATAAATAATGAATATAATTATGAAATTCCTATATAAAATACTTGCCAAGGGTCTAAATCCACGTCCTTTAGTGTGTGACGAAAGGACGTGGGTTCAGATCCTATGTGAAATTAAATGTATTTATTCTTACTCATTAGATGAGGAATAATTATTAAGTTAGATAGGCTATCAACTTTATTGCACTCTATGTAGATTTTTTTCGTTTTAAAGCAATTCTACAGCTTATTTTTTAGATATTTTAGCTAAAATTAAGACAATTTCGTGTCTAAAAACGCAAAAATTAAGCTTGTGACAATAAAATAATAAAACAAAGTAATTATTATAACTATAAATTGCTTTTATAACATCCAATTTACTTATCAGCTCGTTTCACAGCTTATATAACGTAATTTATAGACAATATGTCACATTGCACATCACCACATTACGCTGAACGCCTTTTATTGCAGACTTCAACACGGGAAGTAAAGAACGATGCCAAATTCATAACAACACACACCGAGAACAAAACTCATCTGTTTGGGATGTTCAACCGAGTATGATGACCCCTAAATGAGGTAAAGTTACACCACGCATTACGAGTTATCCAAGATAACCCCCATTATGGCTAATGAGATGGAACACATGAAAAAAAAATAAAAAAACTCGCCATATTAATTCGAAATTGATGATTTTTGAAGTTATTCGATTCGGTCAAGGCGTTTTTTTCAGACATTCAAACACCTGTCGCTCACTCGTTAACACCAGATGGCTGTTCTCACATAAGGCACTTACAAATTATGGTCATCAATATGTGATGACCTTTAGCGGTTGGCATTTCTTTTGTTTTTTTTTTGTAGTTGGCTCACACTTTTCAGTGATTCTCGAATGAGTCATATACGTGTTTAGTTAGCAGGTGTGGCACTCGATTCCGGTAGATATTAATAACACCACCAGCGCAATAGACCGGTCCGTCGACCTGTCTGTCCTCGAAAACTCATAATTTAATTTTTATAAAGTAAAAACAATAATAAATCTTTAGGTGGGACGAAAGACTAAACAAAGTCTGTAGAGTATGATGTAGTTATGTGATTTTTTTTTTATAACTGGTATAAATATTTATACGTGGAGTAGGATAACGTTATCTAAGTTATCCTCTAGTGAACTTTA